CTGCTTGCTAAGCCGAGTTTGAATTCCTCCCCACCTTCAGATTATTCTTACTGGCCCAATTTATGAAGAAATCTGCAAAGTTTGGCAAGGTCTTATTTTTAAAACCATCAAGGCAGCATTCTCACCCCTCCCTACGCTGGTATGCACACCGAGGGGAGGCGGCTGGATTTAAACAAGCATGCCGGGCCTTGCAACATAACTTGGGAAAGTTTTTCTAGTTGGCTTGGCACAGGTCTGTGACCCTTCCTGCACGGTGATGGGGGAGGGGAGCGGGGAGAACCAAGCACCCCTCCCACCCTTTGAAGAATGCCGTACCCAGGGAGTTAGCTCTGCATTCATTACCGAGCCTTCCACTTTCTACAAATCCCCACCTACACCCTCTTAGCGCCGAGTTTATACAGCATGACAAGGAGCCTGTGGTAACTCCTCTGCGATTATGGCTTATGGCGCATATTCCCCCGTGGAGTTCTGCTGAAGCCTGAGTGGTGGTGGTGTTTTTTCCCCCAGAGGCCTCCATTCTATTTTTGAGGCTGGAAATTAAAAGAAGGAAGCTTGTCCTCTGTGCAACATGCCAGATCCGTCACTCTTCACTGCTGACCCCAATAACAGCAGCCGGCCATATTTTATGTCCACCCCAATGCTATCAGGTCCCCTGAATTAGAGCGGACTGACCTTGGCTCCCCCCCCCAACCCTGGGATTTGTGACACTTGACTTAAATAGGCCAGGGCACAGGTGGCCATTGGAAATTCTCCACCAGATATGTGGGCAACGGAGCAGGACGAATAATTTCTCCTCTGTGTATGGTTTGCCAATTGCACAGTGGCAGATAGGACAGCGCTCCAGAGGGTTTAACATCATTGCCCAGAAGATCATGGGTTGCCCTCTCCCCCAGTGGTGGGGATTCAATTTTTTTTTACTACTGGTTCTGTGGGTGTGGCTTGGTGAGCATGGTAGGAGAAAGGTACTGTAAAATCTCCAGTCAGGAGTGGTATTTGCTGGTTCTCCAAACTACTCAAAATTTCCGCAACCGGTTCTCCAGAACTGGTCAGAACCTGCTGAATACCCTGAATACCACCTCTGTTCTCCCTTCTTTGGAAGAGCTTTACAGCTCCCGCTGCTTTAAGAAAGTTCAAAACATTCTCAAAGATCCATCTCATCCTGAGCACCCTTTTTTTTTTAACTGTTACCATCTGGCAGACGGTACAGAATAATAATAAAAAAAAGGACAAATAGGCTGAAAAACAGCTTCTGTCCCAGGGCAGTAACTCTACTGAATTCTACTGTATAGTGCAATATTAATGCAATATCAGGGGTTTTCAATTCAATGTACAGAATGTGAAGGATGTGTGTGTTTATTTTCGTAGTCATAAGGTATACTGAAGATGGTATTTAATTTCGTTGTACGAGGTGCAATGACAATAAAGTAAACTAAACTAAACCGTGTCTCTCCAGGAGGAAGAGCCCTGCCATTCCTCAAGGGCAACGCTGCCTTTTCAAGAGGGGACCATAATACTGCTAAGGGAAAAAAAGTGCAATAGGAAGAATCTGTCCTGGGAGCGGAAGGAAATGTGGGAAGGCAGAGATGGCGGCCCCTCGCTTGGAACCACAACTATACTTGTGAAAGACAGGACGTCCCCATTCAAGGCCTCTGACTTCGGCCATCTTGTTTCTAAGTCACGGTAAGGCAGCCTCCTCAACTCGTGATAATTCTTCTGAAATTCCAACTTGGAAGAGTTTCTAAGGCCGTTTCTCTTTCATCATATTAGATGAGAACCAGTAGGGAGGGGAAAAAAGGATGATTTTTTTTTTTCTGCCTGGCACTCAGGACTACAAAGGGAGCCAGCCAGCTCACGCAGAAACAGGCAGGCGTTTGGAAATAGCCCAATGAAAGAGACGGTTCTGCTGCGGCAGCTTTAAGGAACCTTCAATATCCTTTCAGGGGAAGTGATCTGCCTTAATGATTCAAGCAAGAAAAGAAAGGAAGACAGAGATTTAGAGAATGAGAGCAAACCATGGACACCGCTGGGCTTTTTTTTTTTTTACAAAGGCCTGTAAGATCATCAGTATCGTCAGTTGACAAGAGCCTCGGTCCTGATGTAGACAAAGACTTGTCCAAATGCTCTCAAAAGACAAGCCAACATGCAGCTCAGCACGTTTGGGCTGCAGTGCTCTGCACCACCACTAGATGGCAGCAACGAGAGGCAGATATCTACAGTACCTTTACTGACATCTATAGCAGAGGTGGGTATTCAGCAGGTTCTGATCAGTTCTGGAGAACTAGTAGTGGAAAATTGTAGTAATTCGGAGAACCGGCAAATCCCACCTCTGACTCTGACAAATGCTCCCATCTATTCTCTGCCTCCCGAGTCCCAGCTGATCAGCTGGGTCTTCTTTTGTTGCCCTGCACAGGAGAATGGAGCTGGAAAGCAGGTTAGTGGGGTGGGGAGGGAATGGAGATTTTGCAGTATCCTTCCCCTGCCATGCCCACCAATCCACGCCATGCCATGCCATGCCACACCCACCAAGCCATGCCCACAGAACCGGTAGTAAAAAATTTTGAGTCCCACCACTGATCTATAGGTGGCCTAGAGTTTTGCATCCAGATATCATAGTCCTATTACTGTCATTGAAAGGGTAGTGGGACAATCAGGAATATTTTCTCCTTGTGGGGTGAAGCCTAGAAAAGCTTTTTTTTTTTTTTTTAAGTTTGAAACATTTATGCAACATTCAATGGCATAGAACCACCACAGCTTAGAGCAAAGGTCTCCAAACTTGGCAACTTTAAGACTTGTGGACTTCAACTCCCAGAATTCCCGAGCTAACATGACTGGAGGAATTCTGGGAGTTGAAGTCCACAAGTCTTTAAAGTTACTAAGTTTGGGGACCCCTGGCTTAGAGGTAAGGGCTGTATTCCACTCTGGCTGGTTCTGTGCCACATTTTAGGGGGAGCTTGGGAATAAACCCAGAGGTTCCTGAAATGCATCTCAAGAAGATCAGTTGCAAACCTGGCTACTTTTTGCCCAACATCCTGAATTGTTTACCATTTTTTGCAGCATTGCATGTTGTGCCCAAAGAGACCGTTCTATGACTTTATGATTTTGGTACATTCTCCAATAGAGTTACCTTAATCAGTAATCGGGTTAAGCATGTTGTGTGAATACAAGCCAGGATTGAGATTTTTTTTGGGGGGGGGGGGGGGTGTTAGCATAGCCTGAGGGTTAACGCCTCTAACCCCACCCCACCATACACGCCTGAGCGCTTTTTCTGGCAGCCAACAGTGGGGAAGATGAAGGAATGTGCCAGTTCAGCGATGTGGAAGAATTGGGTTGTGCTGTGCACACTTAACAGCTGCCCCCCTCTTCCTGGGGACGGGGAGGGGGACAGGAGTGATGGGTGACTCTCCACTTGATCTGGGAAAGCATTTTAAACCAGTTACAGGAACTGGGCTTGGCTAGTCTAGGGAAGAGAAGGACCAGGGGAGACATGATAGCAGTCTTCCAATATTTGAGGGGCTGCCACAGAGAGGAGGGAAGGGGTCATGCTATTTTCCAAAGCACCCTAAGGCCAGACAAGGAATAATGGATGGAAACTGAACAAGGAGAGATTCAACCTTAAGGAGAAGTTTTCTGACAGTGAGAACAATCAACCCATGGAACAGAAGTTGCTTTCAGAAATTGTGGGAGCTTCATCACTGGAGGCTTCCAAGAAGAGATTGGACTGCCATCTGTCAGAAATGGTGTAGGGGCTCCCCCTTGGGGGGGGGGGGGTTAGACTAGATGACCTACAAGGTCCCTTCCAGCTCTGATTATCTGTTATCTGTTAAAGCAACAGCCCCCACCCTCCACGACACAATGCAAGTCCCCCAACTCGCTTTCTTCACGCGCCAGCAAAAAGTTGCAGCGGGGGGGGGGGGGGGAAGACTCCGCTTCGGATCCACCCCGCGTTCTCGCCTTCAGCTGCTTCACCCAGAGACCCGCGTGGAGTGGAGTGGAGTGGAGGAAGCGTGGGACATTTATTTGGCAGCGCCCTTGGCTTTCCCTTTGGCAGGGTAGCTCGTCCGGCAGCCGGAGGCAGCGCCGTCAAGAAGGCGGCGCTCGCTTTTGAAAAGGCGGCTCCAGATTAATCTCACCCGCCCCGCCAGACTTGAGAGGCCGAAAGGGAAAGAAGAAAAGGAGTGCGGGGAGCAAACCCAGCCAGCGCTTTGCTAATGGAAGGGTTGGGTGCTTTGGAGCAGGGGTCTCCAACCTTGGCTACTTTAAGCCTGGAGGACTTCAACTCCCAGAATTCCCCAGTGGGAGTTGAAGTTCCTCCAAGGCTTAAAAGTAGCCAAGGTTGGACATCCCTGCTTTGGAGCAGGAACGTGGACGGGAAAAAGAAAGGCTTTGCTTTTCAGGGGTCGCTTGGCTTGCAAAGCAGCCCAAAGCCCCGGCTACCCCCTTCCCTAAGTCCGGCCGCCCCACCACGTGTCTTAAGGATGCCGCTGCCTGCATTCACACACCTGGCGGCGCTCGGCTTGGTTTCCGCCTGGTTTGCGAACTCAACGGGTTTTTTGGTCTCCCGGCTTGCGAGCACCGAGCGGATGACAAACAATTGGAAGGGACCCTATAGGTCATCTAGTCCCGCCCCGCCCAAGCCTCCATCCCCTGCAGCCGTTTGCGGGGCGCAGCCAAGAGCGGACCCCGCCCAGCCAAGCCGTCTTCTCCCTCCCCCTTTCCCTTCCCGAAATCATCTCTCCCGCCACCACCACCCGCATCTTCCCCAAGCAGCATCCATTCAAAACGGCTAACAGAAGCACGCGAGGCAACCTCGTCACTCAATATATAGGTTTCTTTTAATATAAAAAAGTGTCTATTAAAAATTCCTTCCTAAATACACAAAAAGACCAATTGGGGGGTGCGGGAGAGGGAGCAGGAAAAGAAGAAAGAAGAAAAAAAGAGGGGTGGTGGTGGGGGGGGGGAGTCGGGGGGGGGGGGGGGGGGGAGGTGGGGGGGGGGGGGGGGGACCAGGGAGAGGAATCAAAGCAAGCAGCAGCAGCAGCAGCGGCTCAGATGGTGCCAATCCGGAGGATTTGAGTGTGTTCGTCTCCAAGCAACTACCAAGGCTGGTATATTTAGATGCACAAATGGACAACACAGGATGGGGTGGGGTTTTTTTTTTTTCGTTTTTTTTTCTGCACGATCCACAAAGCTGTACGGAAGTTTCCAAAAAACAGGAAAAGGAGGGAATAGAGAGCAGGACAAAAGGCGGGTGGGGAGGGGGGAAGAGTCGCACGCATGCGTACACGCGCACGCACACACCACCCTGAGCTCAGCACTGGCATAAAAGGGCGCACGCGGAGGAAGGATTACTGTACTCATTGGGGCTTACAGGTGGCCAATGAGAACTCAGAAAACTTTTGCTCCCCTCCCCTCCCTCCCTCTCCCCCCTCCCTTCCTCAACGAAAGGGTGTGTTAGCTTGTCTATTTTTTTTCCCTAGTTTTTTTTTTTTTTTTAATACAAACTCGGGTCTTTGGGTGTGTCCTGCCAAAACGAAACAAAAAAACAACCCAAAACAAAAAATTTTTTTTTTAAAACTCCCCAAAACAATAGAAAAGCAACTGAAAACCTCAATGAAACCCATGCTGAAATTTGCACATCACAAAACCACAGCAGATGTACAGATGCAATATACAATTCACGATTTATAATAAAACATTATATACAATAAATAGGTTCTTGTTACTTTTTTTTTGTCAATCTGCAAATAGATTTCTCAGTGCATATCCGACACAATTAGCTTCTCTCCTGCTTTGACTCTCTGGCCTCCTTTTTTTTTCTTCTCTCCATTATTATTTTTTGTTTTGTCTTCAAAACATTTCAGATTTTGAATGAGTGTGTGTATGTGTGTGTGTGTGTAATGTATGGGAGTATACATCTTCATGGTGTTTGCTCTTTTGTAATTTTTCTTTTTCTTTTTTTTACATTTTTGAAAAGTATTTACAATTGCTGGTTTTGTGCAGATAGAAAAGGCCTGTTTCCCTCAACCCTCCCTCGTTGCTTTCCGATGGAGAAAACTTGCGAGCTTCTCCCAGTCAGATCCATCCGGCACTAAGGGGGCAGAGAGGAGCAGTAACAGAGGAGTTGGAGCCACACAGAGAGCGTGGGGAGAGCGCCCCAAAAGGCGATGCAAGTCTTCCGTGATTTTGCTGGAATCTCTTGGTCGGTGGTGGTGGTGATGATGGTGATCTTCCCTGGTTGATCTCTCCTTGTCTCTCACCCCATTCCAGCAAAGAAACAGGTCATAAGGAGCCGGTCTGTTGCATGCTTATAACAAGGGTGGTGAGCAGACAGGAAATCTTCTTCCTTTGGGTAACAGAAACTGAGGATAGAAACAAAGAAAGTTTACCAAGTGAAATGGAGGCAGATGGTAATAGCTGGAGAACAGCCTAAGGGAGGAGAGGAACCACAGCTGGATAATGCAAATAAGGGACGCAGAATAGTGGACAAATAACGAGAATGTCCTGCTTTTTTCCAAACTCGGGTTGAAATGCAAAGCGGCTTTCGATTTATTTACTTAATTGAAAATGTTTGTATAGCTGCTCATCTTATATAAACAGCTGTGGGCGACCAAAAGATGATCTCGTTTAGAGCGATGCTTCTCAACCTTGGTCTCTTGAAGATGTGTGGACTTCCGACTCCTAAACCAGTAAGAATTGGCGTTCACACACATCTTCAAGTGGCCAAGGTTGAGAAACACTCTCTAGAGCAGTGTTTCCCAACCTCAGCCGCTTTAAGACCTGTGGACTTCAACTCCCAGAATTCCCCAGCCAGTCATGCTTCTTTCTGGGAGTTGAAGTCCTCGCGTCTTAAAGAGGCTGAGGTTGAGAAACATGGCTGTAGAGCAGGAGTCTCCAACCTTGGCAACTTTAAGACTTGTGGACTTCAACTCCCAATTCCACAAGTCTTAAAGTTGCCAAGGTTGAAGAACCCTGCTCTAGAGTATATTGCCTGCAGCCTGCGTTCCTCCCATCTATGGCTCAAAATCTTGGTATCCACATGGTTTCTGAAGTTTTACCTATAAGCATTGGAAGTTCACTCCTCTGTCTATAAATGGTAAACGGAGGTACGTGGATAAATTTCAGTCCAAATCAACTTGAAAAATCAAGCTGGCTCAATATTCCTCATCAATACAACTTGCAAAATCAAACTGGCTCAATATTCACAAGCAACATGAAGGGGGAAAAGTTTCTTTTTCACATGCACAAAAGCTTTTCTGCAGTATCTGAGTGATTCAGAGGCACCCAGGTCATTTTAGCTTTCCAGTCTGATTTGGAAAGTGAGTTCTGTTCCGATGATTGGTCATAGTGGGTTCGAGCAAAATCCCCAATTTGAAATCTTGCAAGGCCCTAAAATGCACTGAAGACAATAGACCTGATCAACTCTGGGTGGATCATGAAATGGGGGCATTCTTCTGGTCTAGAAGAAAAACTTAAGGCCAGAGGGAAGACAAATTAGAGCACCCTGTTGCTAAACCCAACTCCCTTCAGCCCAGTCCCAATTGGATTTGGGGTGATAGCAATAGCACTTAAGACTTATATACTGTTTCGTGGTGCTTTATAGCCCTCTCTAAGCAGTTTATAGATTCAGCATATCGCCCCCCAACAACCTGGGTCCTCCTTTTACCAACCTCAGAAGGATGGAAAGCTGAGTCAACCTTGAGCCAGTCACAATTGAACTCCTGGCAAGTGAGCAGTGGATTAGCCTGCAATACTGCATTCTAACCACTGCACCACTATGGCTCATGATACGATGCTGACAACTATAAAGTAGCTTTTGGAAGACAGAAAAACTTTTCTCCCCAAGACATTACATGTGTTTGGGCGAGTTAATGGCAAAAGGTCTCAAAAATTTACTATCAAACTAATTTTGCAAGTGTCGCTAAAGTATCTTAACTGCACTGCTTTCCTTGAACTTGGCACCTTCCTGGTGCGGTGCATGAAATCAAGAAAACACAAACTTGCCTGGACCAGGCCTTTGTGAAGCCTACAAGGAGCATGACAGTGATTTTCTTGTCCAACAACTGGTAGTGAAAGGTATTTTGGCTGGGTTCACACATTGCACTGAGTTACGGTTTCTTTAACTGTAGCTTAATGAATAAGCCATCACTGTTTCATACAACACACTAAGCCAAACATAAACCACATCATATTTAACTCTACTCTTTGCCACTGGTACCAATATAGTTTTTCAGCCTTGTGAGAATACTGAGCCTGCTGACTTAGAGCTTTTGGGAACTGGCGGCATACAAACAAGCTGAGAAAGACAGCATGTAAAGTTGTCTTCAGAGAAATATTCCGTGCAGGGACTGGGTTTCTACAATATACTAGATTAGGCTAAAAAAACATGGTTTTGTTGAAGAAGTGTCTTGTATAAGTGGAGTGTCTTCAAAAAAACCCCAGAAAGTCCCATTGTCTCTTGAAAAAGGACTTTTGGGACAACCATGGTTTTGTAGTTTATACAGGTAGTCCTCAACTTACAACAGTTCATTTAGTGACCATTTGAAGTTACAATGACACTGAAGAAAGAGACATGATCATTTTTCAATCTTATGACTGTTGTAGCATTCCCACGGTCACATAATTTACATTCGGGCACTAGGCAACTGACTCATATTTATGACGGTTGCAGTGTCTCAGGGGGGTCATGGGATTCGCAACCGTCTGACAAGCAAAGTCAATGGGGAAACCAGATTCACTTAACGACTGTTACTCATTTAACTGCAGTGATTCACTTAACAAACATGGGAAAAAAGGGTCACAAAACAGGGCAAAACTCATTTAACCAATTTCTCACTTAGCAACATAAATGTTGGGCTCGATTGTGGTTGTAAGTTGAGGGTTACCTGTGGTTCCAACCTGTCATCGAAACCTAGAAACCAAGTCTCTCCTTTTGAGACTAGGAGTCACTTCTGCTGCTGTTATGTCAAAGTTGGATTACTACAATGGACTCTGCTTAGGAGACCCTTGAAGACTACATTTAGCTGCTATAGACTGCAGTCTGTTTTAGCATCAGTACACCTGCATTACTGGCCAGTATGATTCTGGATGCAACTGAAGTGTTGGTTGTGACTTATAAAGCTTGGGTCCAGACTATCCACAGGGCAACTTTCTCTAAACCAGAGGTCTCCAACCTTGGCAACTTTAAGCCTGGAGGACTTCAACTCCCAGAATTCCTGAGCTAACATGACTGGAGGAGGAATTCTGCGAGTTGAAGTCCACTAGTCTTAAAGCTGTCAAGTTTGAAGGCCCTTGCATTCCATAAACAGGACGACCGATTGTGCATTTAAAGTCCAATGCATAATCAGTCCCCGTCCCCCCACTTGTTGTGCTGCTTTGAAGATGTCTGTTGTGTTAATTGATTTGAGCCACCCAGAATGTGTGGAACTGCAGAACCAAGGGGGGTAGAAATTCTGCAAGATCAACAAATTTAAAAAAAAAATCCCAACAAACAGTAAAATTGATGGTAGCTGTTTGGACATTGCCTATAATGTGAACGCCAGAATTTACTTTTCTTTAAGGGGTTGATGGTTTAACCTATCAGGTAACCCAAGCAATTGTGGGACAGAATCAACGCGTAGCCCTAGTTGTACTACAGAGGCCTTGCAGTCTAAGCAGAAGCGGACAGGAGTTCTTTCAGGCTCCACAGACTTTGTAGTTTTCGGAGGCCAGCCACGTGGGGATCAGGAGGCATAAAAATGCAGAGGCATGGAGGACTTAACCCCCCTGTGAAAAATGATGGAGGCCCTCAGGCAGAAGCAGCCGAGTGACAGGCATCCTAGGGAGTCAAAGGATGAGGAGAATGGAGGGATCAGTTGTCATAGAGACTGTGAGGGAGGACAGCTTTGTTCAGCTTAATTAACATGGAAGAGCTGCAAAAGGTATGTGTTGGAGAGCAAGAGGTTTAGAAGTGGCATCAAAATGGATGCCAGTAGGCAGCGACAGGAGGAATGGCTGCCTTGATAATGTTCTGGGAAGACACGGAAGCCCCTTTTCCCAACTTAGATTACCCACGCTACCATTTCAAACCTTCTGGATCTTAAGCAGGCCCAAGGCCTGGAAAGAAGATGTAGATGGTTTGGCGATCACACTCTACACTCAAGATGAATGAGCTGCATATAGAAGAGACCAGTGAAAGCATGGCCATCATATGGTTCTGTTACCAGACAATCTGCCTCACAGAAGGGATGGATAAAGGGGCCCTGATGATGAGAAACTTATATAAATTAGGTTCTTCTTTTCATGCTAAACAGGTTTTCCCCAAGTTGGGTGCCCTTAACATAAGAGTCTTCAAACTTGGCAAGTTTAGGACTTGTGGACTTCAACTCCCAGAATTCCTGAGCTAACATGACCGGAGGAGGAACTCTGGGAGTAAAAGTCCACAAGTCTTAAAGCTGTTGAGTTTGAAGACCCCTGCCTTAACAGTAGTCATGCTGGCTAAAATTCTAGTAGTTTGTTGACATATATGAAGGGCCTCTCAGATCATGAAAACCCTTCATTGTTGCAATATGGTTTGCTGCATTGTTGTAATATGGTTTGCTTTTCTACTATTTAGTGTTGTTAATGAAACAAGAGGTGGTGGTTCCTAAACCTTGGCTTACAGCTTTGCACATTGTATAATCACAGCCAACTGTGGTTAATTTAACTCCGTCGAATTAGAACATGGCTTAGTGCAATGTATAAAGCCCTTTGAATACCCTTTTTGCAGTTTTCACAGGAAGCCACAGTTAGAATGATGTGCTGAGACTGAACTCAGCAATCTGACTTCTGGATTGGATTTTGAGATCAGTATTTATGGACTCCTGCCAACTCCCATACCTTGGCAAGATGCCTAGATCTTTTGTATTTGGCTTCCTAGTCCTGAGCCTTTTGCTACCTGTGGAGACAGGAGCCCCTCCCACTGGCTTTGAACTCTCCACAAAACTAAGATAACTGTCTCGGGTAGCTTCCACCATAAACCAGATTTGTATTACCCTCAGCTGCACCTTGTAAGGAGCCATCATGTACAGTTTACAAGTTACTGGAGCTTGGTTCACCCAGCATGCTAATTCGCAACCAAGAAAGCCACATTATGGCTTAGTACAGCTTTCCCCTAATCCAGTGTTTCCCAACTTCAGCCATTTTAAGATGTGTGGACTTCAACTCCCAGAATACCCCAGCCTGGCTGGGACATTCTGGGAGTTGAAGTCCACCTTTCTTAAAATGGTAAGGTTGGGAAACACTCTCCTAATTCATATGCTCTTTGGAAGGTGTACATTCTGCTCCCCTTTCTGGGCACATTCTTTACCTCTTTCAGTCAATAATACAGATGGTGATAAACATT